TTTATTCACTTTAATATGGAGGTTAGTACAGTATATAAGATTTTTTACTTAATAAAATCGTACAATTCCTCAATGGAACAAAGATTAATTCATCAAATTAAAATCAGAGAAATCCTTCAATTCAAGATTTTTGAACCGTACAAATTTGTGAACTCACCCTGCTTTTGTCGAGCCATTCTATCGTGCTCGTGCCACCAAATCCTGGGACGCGAATATCCACTCCTGGCATATTTGTGGTTGTTCCGGTTGATGAGTTAAACACCAGCCTGTGCAAAAACAGTAAGATCTCAAAATTCGAAGGCCTTATTTAGGGATATGAAATGAGTTATACCGTTTCGACCAGTAATTAACAATCATAATTGTAAGCAAATTGAAATACGCAAAGCTTACAGCATGTTGTCGACCCAGCAATCGATAACCAATGGTGTGAACAATTCCAGATTCAACCATAGATCAAAGTAATCCTTCGTTTGCTTAGAGCAAATATAGTGTACAACTGAAGGTTTTCCAGTGAGATTTGCCTCCAACTGACTTCCAGCGTCACCGGGTACTGTAGCGAAACAAACTGTCTCGGTTGATGAAGCAACAGAATTGAACGGTAAACTCACTGAGCACAACAGGATGTTTCGGCTTCTTTTTAAAAATTGTCCGGACGAATGGAGACATGCATTCTGCGATTGTCATGAATAGGGTCAGCAGAACGACATATTGAAATAACCGCAAAATCATCTGAAGTAAAAAGTAGGGAAATTACGTACATTCCATCGAGCGATAAAAAGTCTGTCATCAAAAAAAAAAATTGGTACAGTTTGAAGTGAAGCGCTACAACAACACTCTAACGTGGGTGCAACTCAAGGAAAGTGTTCATCGCAAACTCTAAGGAGTTTCCCTATATCCAATGCGATTTGGTAGCACACAGATGAACGAAATATTGTAAAGCAAAATCTATGGCGATGACAATGGAGAATTACAGAAATTGTTCGATTCTAATTAATCAATAAGAGTATAATTTATTTATAGGCACTGTGGCGTCTTGACCGACATAGGATAGCCTTGGTATACAGTAAGGGTATCAAATAGTTAGATGTCGACAATTCAATTATATTTAATAATTCATTTTGAAAAGCATTCATAATTATCATTCAACATAATCAATCCATAGCTTCCTTCAGTTTTCGGAAGTTCTACCTCTTGCTGGATATTAGTGTT